TATATATATATATATATATATATATATATATATATATATATATATATGAGACATATATATGACATATATGTATATGACATATATGTATATGACATATATATATATATATATGACATATATGTATATGACATATATATATATGTTATATAGTATTATAATTCAAGTATGTAGAAAAGGGTCAGGGTTTGGATATCATCTAGTCTGTTTTCATGTATAAGTGTATGTATGTACATACTGTACGTGTACACACACACACACACCATTCCATGAAATAGAACAGTAACAGGAAACATGCAGCACTGTGACATAAGTGGCACACTATGTATTTTTCAATGTGGGGCAAAAGAAAGGAAACATGGGATTGTTTTTTGTCCCTCAGTTCCATATCTGTGTGATACACCATAGTAGTTTTAAGACAACTGTTAAATTATGCAGTTGCGTTTGTATCCTCTGGCAGAACAGACTTACTGTTGAACAATTAGAGGAAAATGTACCAGGAAAGACCCTGGTATTCCAGATAATAAGCAAAATTAGATATCATAAGTAAAATTAGATATTATAATAAAAATGTACTTGATTCTCTTGATTAAAAGACAAGGGAGTAAATAAATATTTTTGTATCAAAAAGAGCTGGGGGGGAACACAACTGTGACCCAGGAACAAACATGAACCCTATGTATTGATAAACAAGAATTAAAAACATATGATCAGGTGAAATTTGTTGTTCAGTGGTGAAAAAATAATATACTTTTTAAACATTCTGACTGATCATATGACATATGCTATAATTTGAGGTAAACAATTATTATTAGTAAATCAATATTTACAAAATCCCCCTTAAATTTTAGACTACATATATATCTACCTTTTCAATAAGATCCAAGCATTCCCCATTATCTGTCCAGTCAATGTCTTCCCACTGGAGGCCTTCTCTAAGAAAACCCAAGAAAGAGATTTTATTAAATTGCACAAACTGTTTTAGTTGTCCAAAAGAAAGTTGGATGAAAACATGCATCCTTACAATATCGGTACAATGAATTTTATGGGGAATCCAAAATCTCTAAAAGAACTATGTTGAAAATGAAATTGACACAAATATTCAAGCTATAGCAGAGAAAATAAATAACATTTAACAATTCTTACCTACTATATTCTAATTGCTCTAATGAAAAAATGTGCTTGTTGAAATATTCCTGAAGTTTTTCATTTGCATAGTTAATACTGAATTGTTCAAAACGATTAACCTGGAAAAAGACAAATCATAATGCAACATTGAGTAACTGACATTCCTGGTCAAGTAATGCAAGAGGAAAAGGAACGATGTTTAAGCATAACAGCATTAGTTATATGTAAATGTTTGGAACATACCTCAAAATTTTCAAATCCAAAAATGTCTAAAATGCCAATGGACTTGAAGTCGTCCTTGCCTTTGATTCTGCTGTTGATTTTTTTAATAACCCAGGCAAAGCACTGGGAGTAAAGTGCCATAGCTGCTGAATCTCGGCTATCTATAGCCTGGTGGTTGATAATAAAAAGTAGATTATTTTATGACCTGATGGCATTCCTCAAAATAATGTTTCTAAGAGACATGACAAGCAATGTAATAAATACACATAACACACATATATCCCTATACTTTATTACTCCCTTCACAACTAAGTTTTCCCTCTCATTTTGTTGCTGCTATAACAGAGAATCAGTGCTGATTCTTGGTGACTTGCCTGGAGAAGTCCCTGCAGTTTTCTTGGCAAGATTTTGGAAGTGGGTTGCTATTGATTTCTCCCTAGGGGCGAGAGAGAGAGACTGGCCAAAGGTCACCCCAAACAGTTTTGTGCTTAAGACAGAATTAGAATTCATGCTCTCCTGGTTTCTAAACTGATGAACTGTGGGTTCTCTTTTTCCTCTAACTTCTGCCAAATAGATACACATTTTTCCTTTCTTCCTATCCCTGACTTATGATTATAATTTGGATTGGAATCTCAGTCATTGAGGGAAGCGGTCATTAAACGAGATGTCCACATGACTGCTTCAATCAACAATTGCAATCCTGGCATTTCTGGTTGCAGTTGTTAAGCAGAGTGATAAAAGAGCTGCCTGCCAGGAGAATTTCCAGCTTTGCAATGCAGGTAGTTCTTGCTCTCAAATGTTCCTGCAACCCACCAAAGAAGCTCAGTTCCCCTCTGTGCACACAGGGGAAATCCTTTGAGGTACTGCAGGAATAGAGGTGAAATCCTGAAGAGTTCATCTCCATTCCTGCTGTCCTTTCCAAAGAATTTCAGTTCCACTCCATATGTAACATTCTCTGCCAGCTTCCCCGCTGAGTTTCTATGGAAGCTGACAGAAAAAATTGCAAACAAGGATCACATGGTCACAGGGTTCTTCGTAACCAGTCATAAATGCAAGCCAATTGCCAAATGCCTGAAATGCAGTCATGTGACCACTGCGTGTGTGATATTTACAACTGCCAGAAGCGCTTTACAGACTGTAAACCATCCTTTCTGAGGCCACTGTAATTTTAAACAAGCAGTTGTAATCTTCCTTCCTGAACAGAGCTGATATTTCTACATGAAGCTAAGTGCAATGCATCAGGAGTGGAATGACCTGCCCTAGACTTTAATGTAATGTTGTCTCTCTGTAAGAGTACCGATGGCAGATTTTTCATTTTAAACATAGTATCTTGGGCATGCATACTATTTAGACTTCTGGAAACTACACCACAGTAGAAATAAAAAATGAGATTATTTTTCAGAGATCCTAAATACTATACACAAAAACATTCTAAAGTGATTGGATTGTACCTGCTGTATATTAAGAGGTGTTAGAATTTCTTCTCCCCTGAGTATCATTGATCTCTGTGTCAATGCTTCAGTTAACTGTGTTGAGTCCAGCCCAAGTAACTCTGCAGATCTATTCAGAGCTAAGAACAATAGAGCAACAAACTATAGTAACAGAAAGAAATACTAAAAACGCAATAGTATTATTTGGGAAGATAAAAAAAAAACCCTAATAAGCAATTTGCCATTCATATGTATTATTTTCCCTCAACAGAATCTTTTTCTTACATAATGCCATTCTCCAAATTATCTAAATTACATTTCAGAGTAAATCCATGCCAATGAAAAACAGATCTAGAGGACTGAAGAGATAGGAAGTTAATTGAAACTAATTTTGTAATTTGTCCTAATTTAAATTACTCAAAATTTGAACTAGAAAGACAGGACATAGATATTCATAATTATATTTAGTAAATAGCCATTTTTTCACCTGTTTTGAAGGACACCTGTGCTCCACCAGCTGTAATAAATTCAATATTGCCAAGATGCAAAATGCCAGCAAGGAGCCTAAGAACATCTCGTACCTCCTCAGTGGTGAACTGCATCACTTCCATTGCCGTCTAGAAAAGACACACAATATGACTGAGCCTTTGAGCTCATTCGTATCACATAATACCATCCAAGTACTATCTCCCATATATGAAGAATCTCCAAAAAGTCTCTTCAGAAGGACGGGTTTCTCCAAAATGAGCACGATTTTGAACACATGAAGCCTTTCCTTATTTCTTGCTACTTCAGTGTTGAGTTGCAAGGAGAAGAGATTCAGATCAGAAGAAAAACCCACCATCATTCGGCACCATCTGCAGGCAATTAAAGTAAGAGTACCAAGAACTCTGCAATTAAACCCTGAGCTACACATATTCTCTTCTATTGGAACTACCTATGGTTTTCCTTGATGGAACCTTGATGGGAAAGGATGAAAAAAACTGGTCAAACTCACAATGACTTCTTTGAATGCTTCTGCATCATTGATTGTCTTGTCTGCTACACATCCAGACTGGTTCAGGTAGTGATAGTTCTCAGGTGCAGATAGGTAAAATGCATCTGAATGGAGGAAAAACATTTCTATCATGCTAAATCTAATATTCAAATTTGCTTAAAATCTACAGGAGAAGTAACAATCAGAATTTGTATAGATTTCTTGGAATAAAGAGCTCAGACTTGTTCTACAGATTGATGATTTTCTGGAGATTAGTATCAAAGTACTGATAGTATTTTCTACAGAGGTCCTTCCCCTCACCCCAACTTCTCAGCAAGACTTTGTCAGTGAAACAGTTCAGAAGTAGGGATTGTAACTGCAATCTATATAAGATTTAAACTCAGGTGGGTTAGTGATTGGAGTCTTCCTGGCAGGTGCTAGTTAAATGGATGCTAGAAATGGTGTTGTCTCTATTGTGATTGGTTTGCCTTGCCTGCTTGCTGAGCTGGATATGATCCACTACCCAGAGAGACAACTGCTATACACAACAACTCCTACAGAGACACCCCCCCACTAATATTGCTGGAATTGCTGCATTGAAGAAGACATGCTGGGTCAGGGGTGAAATATCTGCATAAATCCTGATCAATATCTTGGCATTAATCTCCTAAAGCCTGGAGAACCTGATTATGATATGTGTATGTACTTCAAAATTTGTTTCAATTATTTTTAATGTTGCTTTATAACAGCACCTGAAGTATGAAAATAGATTAAAATGGGTTGCTCATCAAGTAACAATGTGCTTATGGACTTGTTATGGACCTTGGCACTCAATGTCTTAGCAGAAAGTTATTTGGAGAACATAAGTACACTAGCATATTCTCCTGTCTCCTACTTTACAAAAAAGCTACTTGCTATACTGTTTCTACTCTATTCAGGAAATTATTTGTCCTGTTGCTATTCCCTCATGATTCAGCTTCTCATGTTTAACAGAATTTATAGCACGGGCAGGAAAAAGTTCAAATTTTCATGATTGTTATCATCACTTGAAGAAAGAATGTTTTCTGAAAATCAGTAATTTCTTTTGGAAAGAGCCATTGTTTAAATATAAAACTGAGTCCCACCTTTCTTTTCTCCCTCAATCCCTGCCAGCAGGGCATAGAATATGTGATAATTTCTCTCTCCTGGATTTTGCCTTACTACTCGATTCTATGAGACAAAATATTTAGAAATATATTCAGCAAAATCCTTTACATTTTTAAACAATTCAAAATATTAGAAAAACTAAAACTAAAAAATTACCTTTTCTAATAAATCTTTATGAGGCATCAAGTGAATAGGTCAAGGAACAAAATGGTTCAGTTGAACTTGTAATGTATATATTATTTTTGTTAGAATGTTTAGTCAGAAGAATGTTCAATTGTATTAGTTTCCTTTAATTTTAAAAGTTCATTTATTGTATATAAATATTAATTGCTATCTTTTTATTGGCAGCTGAGCTCCATGTCTGGTGATGAAATATATTTGTAAAAGAATTACCCGTAAGTAAATTACACAAGAAACAGATCCCGATATAATATATAAAACTCTCTTTTTCTTTCTCTCACATGTATCTTTTGTTTGCTATGAAGATTTAGTAGAATACTATCAATCTTTCTGGCAATATTTAAAAAACCCAGGAAAATATATCCACTTTAAAAGGATTAGTTACTTTTATACTAAGGAGTACTACTAGAAAATAATATGTTCCTAATAGAATATTTTCCTGCTGAGCCAGGCAGCAGGACCAACACAGATTGAAAAGGGGAAACATATCTAGGATTAATTAGAGCAAACCTGGCTCAGATTAATCACTCACTAGCTGACACACTGCACGATAGAATTGAGTGGATTATCTACTTGATTTATAAAGCTGAATATAGAGCTGTATTTTAGCTTTTCCTAGGCAAAAGTTAATATTGCTACCTAATATTAAGTTTGAACAGTTTTACTCTGAAGATTAACACAAATGAGTGATAAAAAATAAAAATGTACATTTTCTAATATTTTGTCAAGACAGCTTCCTACATTAAACCATGAGAGAAAGAGAAGAGGATTTTCAGAGTTTCTAATATTCTAATGAACAATTTTGGAGTAAAGTAAAACATACAAGTTGTCTTACATATCTGTAGACACACACACACACACACACACACACACACACACACGGAAAGAGAGAGAGAGGGGGGGACACACAGAGAGGGAGGGAGAGGAAAGGAGAGGGAGGGAGGGAGGGAGGGAGAGAGAGAGAGAGAGCTCGTACAACAATTACAAGGCACAGAAAATACAGGATACAGTCTACAATTTTTCCTCCCTGAATATTGCCTTCCTGACAGAAGTTCAGCTGAACAAATTTCCCAAAGCGACTAGAGTTGTTGTTGTAAACAGTCTTTGCATTGCCAAATGCTTCCATAATTGGGCTGCAGTAAAAAAAAAAGACAAAAGTTATTAAGTGTTTATTAGTCCCATAAAAATTATAATAAATCTTATTGATGGAAATATTGTAACACTAATGTTTTTAAAGGTCTATTCACAGTATAAAAGGCATCAAGTCATCTCAAACAAGTCATGAACTTCTAGTACATTTTTAAATATTCCTTGAAAGAATAATATACCAGAAGAGGGAGGGAGAAGCAGGGGGGAACCTGTTGGGGTGTCAGTGTACAAAATAGTCCAGACAAGAAATCTCTCTATGAAATGGACATTCTCTAAATTTGATTTATAAATAAATAAACAAATTAGACAAGAAGGTCATCCAGATGGACTAGTTCTACTTTATTGTATGGTTACACTGACAGAATCTTGCAAGTCTGAAAGTGTCTTTGCATCGCCTTTCTGACCTTTGCTTGGAATGACCCACTTTAAATCAGATAATTATGTTCTATTAACAACTCCCAAAACCAGAAAAAAAAATTACCCATAACAATAAGGAAGCTTCAACCTAAAAAGAGATCACTTTGGCGGAAAAACAAATCAGGTCACGTTGCCAACTTCAAAAGCCGATACAAAAATTTATGCCACCAAATAAAGACTGAATGTACCAATTATCACATTAAACAAGAGGAAAACCTTCTACACACCAATTCCACCCGTGCTTTTTACAATTTTGTAAACAACAAACTAAAAGACTCAAGGTCCATCCCACCCCTGCAAGGACCTAATGGTAAAGACTACAATGATGACACCATTAAAGCCAACCTCTTTAACACATTCTTTGGCTCAGTATTTGTAAACAGCAATGAATTTCCTAGTATTTCCTAGTCGAGCCACAAACAACCACAATGATCTAATACATATCGATTTTACAGAAGACAATGTTGAAAAAGCACTACACAATCTAAAACCATCTCTATCTATTGGACTGGACGGAATATGTGCCTACTTCTTAAAAAAGCTATCCACTGCCATAGCCGAACCTCTAAGCATAATTTTGAAAAATCTTTCAGGACCAGCTCCTTGCCAAAACTATGGTCACAAGCCACGGTCATCTCCATCTTCAAAAAGGGAGACCCCAGCCTAGTTGAAAATTACAGACCAAGCTCTTTATGCTGCGTCACCTGTAAAGTCATGGAATCAATTATTAACCAATCCATCATCTTCCACTTAGAAACAAACAACCTACTCTCTAATAAACAATTTGGTTTCAGAAAAAAACTATCCTGCAATCTGAAACTCTTACACTGCAAAAACTTATGGACTATACAACTCGATCAGGGCAAAGCAATAGATGCATAGTCTACATAGACTTCTGTAAAGCCTTTGGTTCAGTGGTACACAACCAACTGCTCCTAAAACTAAAATCTTATGGTGTCTCTGGACACCTGCATAACTGGATAGAAGCATTCCCGTCAAACAGACAACAAATGGTCAAAATTCTATCCAATTCTATACCTGTCAAAAGTGGTGTCTCCCAAGGCAGTGTTCTAGGACCAACTCTCTTCATACTCTACATAAATGACCTCTGTGATCATATTAAGAGCAACTGCGCCCTTTTTGCTGACGATGTAAAGCTATTCAACACCACAGACAATACTGCTACCCTTCACAAAGACCTTGACTATGTATCAGAATGGTCAAACAAATGGCAACTTCAAATCTCGACAAACAAATGCTCTGTCTTACATATTGGCAAAAAAAAATCAGAAAATAAAATACAGTCTGAACAGTCAAGACCTTGTTGATGATCCAAACTCTGTCAAGGATCTTGGAGTACTTATCTCTAATGATCTAACTGCTAGAGCCCACTGTAACTACATAGCCAAAAAGGCATTAAGAGTTGTAAACCTAATCTTATGTAGCTTTTTCTCTGGTAATATTACACTACTAACTGGAGCATACAAAACATTTGCTAGACCAATACTCAAATACAGCTCATCAGTCTGGAACCCACATTATGTATCTGATATTAACACAGTTGAGAAAGTCCAGAAATATTTCACAAGAAGAGTTCTCTACTCCTCTACTAGTTGCAGAATACCTTATGCCACCAGACTTGAAATTCTAGACCTAGAAAACCTAGAACTACGCCGTCTTCGGTCTGATATAAGTATAGTATATAAAATCATACATTGCAATGTCCTACCTGTCAATGAATACTTCAGCTTCAATCATAACAATACAAGAGCAAACAATAGATACAAACTCAAGGTTAATCGCACCAAACTTGATTGCAGGAAATACGACTTCAGCAACAGAGTGGTCAATGTCTGGAATACTCTTCCTGATTCTGTGGTTTTTTCCCCAAACCCCAAAAACTTTAACCTTAGACTTTCTACTATTGATCTCACCCCTTTCCTAAGAGGTCTGTAGGGGGCATGCATAAGCGCAGCAACGTGCCTACCGTCCCTGTCCTATTCTTTCTTTTATTTTTCTTATATGTATCCATAACTATGTTTTTACTTATACCTATTATCTTGTAAGCAATTGACAAACCAAATAAAATAAAAAAATAAAAATAAAATATTCAACAATAGATTGACAATTGGGAATTAATAGGGGAAGCCAATTCAAGCTTGAGTGAAAGGGGTATCTTTTCTTGCCTTGCTAAATTGCATGAAACATAGTTTGATCAATGATAGCTGGCTGCTGCCATGAAATCACCTTACTGAATGCTTTATGATATACCACATCAATCTTTGAAAGATATATTTTCAAGGAAACAGAAAAATACATAAAGTATTATGTCAACATATAGCTTTTACCTAAGTTAAAAATACTTCTACTGAGAAAATAAACTTTAAAGAGCACACACAAATTCTAATTTATTAAATTATCAACAACTCTTTTGTTGTTGTTGTTGTGAAGTCTTTTCTGACCCATCGTGACACCATGGATAATGTTCCTCCAGGCCTTCCTGTCCTCTACCATCCTTCGGAGTCCATTTAAGCTCATGCCTACTGCTTCAGTGACTCCATCCAACCACCTCCTTCTCTGTCGTCCCCTTCTTCTTTTGCCCTCAATCTTTCCCAGCATTAGGCTCTTCTCCAGTGAGTCCTTCCTTCTCATTAGGTGGCCAAAGTATTTGAGTTTCATCTTCAGGACCTGGCCTTCTAAAAAGCAGTCAGGGTTGATCTCGAGGACTGACCAATTTGATTGCCTTGCAGACCAAGGGACGTGCAGGACTCTTCTCCAGCACCATCATTCAAAGACCTCAATTCTTTGGTGCTCAGCCTTTCTTATGGTCCAACTTTCACAGCCATACATTGCAACTGGGAAAACAATAGCCTTGACTATGCACACTTTTGTGGCAGGGTGTTGTCTCTGCTTTTTAGTATGCTGTCTAGATTTGTCATAGCTTTCCTCCCCAGTAGCAAGAATCTTTTAATTTCTTGGCTGCAGTCCCCATCTGCAGTGATCTTGGAGCCCAGGAAAATAAAATCTATCACAACCGCCATTTATTCCCCATCTATTTGCTAGGAATTGAGAAGGCCAGTTGCCATGATCTTAGTTTTCTTAATGTTGAGTTTCAAGCCAACTTTTGCACTCTCCTTCTTCCATCAAGAGGCTCTTTAGTTCCTCTTCACTTTCTGCCATTAGAGTGGCATCATCTGCATATCTGAGGTATTAATATTTCTCCCGGCAATCTTAATTCCAACTTTTGATTCATCTAGCCTTGCCTTTCTCATGATGTGCTCTGCATATAAGTTAAATAGGCAGGGTGACAGTATACAGCCTTGCCTGATTCCTTCCCCAATTTTGAATCAATCAGTGGTTCCGGGTCCAGTTCTCACTGTTGCTTCTTGACCCACATATAGGTTCCTCAAGAGACAAATAAGATGGTCTGGTACTTCCATCTCTTTAAGAACTTGTCACAACTTGGGGTGATCCACACAATCAAAGGCTTTAGCATAGTCAATGAAGCAGAAGTAGATGTTTTTCTGGAATTCCCTAGCTTTCTCTATGATCCAGCCTATCAACAACTCTACCAACTATATATAAAAATCTAAGAGAGGCTCAGTTAATTTCCTTGTTTGCCCACTGCTTAGGAAATCCCCTTATAGTAGGGGTGTCAAACTAGTGTTGTCATGGTGGTATCACATGACAACTTTTCCCCCCCCCTTTGTTAAACAGGGTGTGGGCATGGCCAGCGTGTGACGCATCCGGCCCACAGGACACAAGTTTGACAGCCCTGCCTTATAGGATATTATATGGAGTTAGATGATATAAGTTTAACTACTCATCCCTGATACTACTAAGAGTTTTGTATTCTGTCAACAAGCAGGCAAGCTTATGCTGAAATAACTTCCTTCCATAAGTCTTGTTTGTTGTTTTCCTTATGAAAATGCCACAGCACATATATACCTGCTCTCCAAAATTGCTTGTTCAACACTAGCTATTTTCTCCATACAAGAGAGTTCCAGAGAATGTTGGCTTACGGCAGACAAAAACTTGAGAATCAACTTAGTGCTCTCCGTTTTACCGGCACCACTTTCACCACTGGAAGACAAAAAAGAAAACAAGCTACAGTTAGTCAGACCAAATACCTTGTGAAAAGATGGACATTTGATGGATGTAGATGAGTATTT